ACACACACACACACACACACACACACACACACACACACACACACATACACACACACATGGCGGCTCGACGACACACACACTCTCTCACACACAGCGGCTCTGCTTCCTGATAACTGCACTTCAGAGGCAGCCTGTTTGTGTGTGTTGGATTGATTTTTCTAAGGATTCCCTTCAGTGCCAGCACGCCTTCCTTCAAAGCCTTCCATGGGAGCTTGTTAGATGTTTGTCTGAGCTGTGTGTGTGTGTGTGTGTGTGGCTGTGTGTGTGTGTGTGAGAGAGAGAGAGAGAGAGTGAAACAACAATCCCATACTTTGCTTTAGAAGTGATATGATGTCATCAAGTCTTTGACGATGGTTAATTTAACACTGGACCTGCAGAAACCAAGGTCATGAAAACAACTCAGTACAGATCCGTGACAATGGAGTTGTGTTAGCATTGTGTGGTTTCCCATCATGCTGCTGCATTCTGACGCAGACTGAGAAAGTTGTGCCAGGGCAGGACGTGGTGCCGTATGTGTTGGTATGGTCATGAGGCAGATAAAACGTGGTGAGAGAACATCGAAGCACATTTATTTATTCCATGGAATGCAGAGAAAAACTGTCTGGTAAAGGCTAACCCTATAGTGGCATCGTGACTGCTAGAGATTTAAGCTAACGTTGCTGTACGTAAGCATTGATCTTCCATCTGTAATGAATGTATTTAGTCATTTCAACATGCCACCAAGTTGTCACACAGATCGTGTCGTCACTTCATCACATTAATGTTCCAAAGTCAGCTAACCTTTCCACCAGTGGTGGGCACTAGTCCGCTAAGGCACAAATCCACTAATTGCGGACCTAAATATTTTGTTTGCACTTTAGCTGTCTTAACAATTTTTGTAATTCATAGGCGGATTTGCGCTTTCTAAACTGAAAATGCAGTACCGCAAATAACTAATTATCTACCAGTCATCATTATCTTGAACAGTGGAAGGTACTGTTGTCAATGAATCACAACACGTGATCTATCCAACAGCACCCCTCCCAGATAAAATCACTTATTGAGAAGGTATACATCCTGCTGACTGTTGCTTTGGGCCACGGTTCTCATTTCCCACAACGCTTTGTGTCTGCTTACGTTGCAGGAAGACCGTGTTTAGAACTCCCTGTCCCAGCAAAAACAGTAAACGTTTGTAATCCATACTAAAATTTTGTATGTATTGATTTATTTTACTTTTCAATCAGAGCTCCTTTTTTTAAAACAATAAGTTTAAATGCTGGAGCTCAATACTTGACGTATCAGTCGAAGCAATCGGCCAACGGGGTTAGAAATGATTTAAAGATGATATACTGATGAAGACTGACACCTAGTGGTCAACTGGAGCAACTACATGGAAAACTTTAAAATCCATGCTCTTATTTTGAAGTTTGCAGATAGTTTCCTGTTCTCCATGCTTTCGTTTCCCGTCACAAATCAAATCTGTCATGTACCCAGAATGCATCGCTTCAGTTTTCCAATAAACTGTTTTAAAATTATTTTATTGATGCTTCTTTAATGAAAAATCTACAACNATCTACAGGCCAGGACTCTGCAGTTTACATTAATCTACAGGCCAGGACTCTGCAGTTTACACGAATCTACAAGCCAGGGTTCTGCAGTTTACACTAATCTACAGGCCAGGACTCTGCAGTTTACACTAATCTACAGGCCAGGACTCTGCAGTTTACACTAATCTAAAGGCCAGGACTCTGCAGTTTACACTAATCTACAAGCAGGACTCTGCAGTTTACACTAATCTGCAGGCCAGTGGTCACACTTTCATGGATGAAGATGTTCTAATAGAGATGAACGTTTGTTTGAGAGAGGAGTAAAGTAAGCCATTTTTGTGAAGAAAAACCGTCATCCTCTAAAAGCAATAAATGTTAATCAGGACACTAACGATCCATTGTTATGCCGAGGGTTCTCTTTTGCATGTGAACAAACAGTGTTGATTGTCATTAGCTACGTTTCCACTGACCATGAAAATGCGCAAATTAGAATTTCGAAAATAAATTTGCTCAATGGAAACACGTCAATTTCAAAAAAAATTACTTTTTTCGACAAAATGTTTTTGCGCTAGGATGAGGTGGTTTTTTGGCCGTATTGAAATTTGTGTTTTTCGCAAAACTTCAATGGAAACACTTTTTTTCGCGTCACAAGAGTCACGCGATCAACAACCGTCTGTTTCTACTGGTGAAAAAGACGATGATGAAGAAGATAACAGGAAGTAGAAGTAGTAATAATATCACAGAAGTAGTAAAAGAAAGTAGTAAACTCACTGACTACAATTTCCCAAAAACACAGCATACGTAGCCGCTCCCAAGTAGGGACTTGTCTCTGGAAAGCCTCGATAAAAGACGCCTACGTCTCCTCTGATGATGAGCGCTAGTGTCGTGGTAGCAACATGCTATGTGTTTACATCCATCGCCGCCATGTTTGTAATGACTTATTGCGAGAACAAACGTATTCACGTGACTTTAATAGCATTTCTTACTTAATGAAAACACCATAGTTGTGAAACTGTGTTTTTTCAACATTAACAGAATATCGGCAAAGTTTTGCTCAAATTTGCAATGGAAACACAGCTACTGTTAATTCTGTTTGTCCACCATGTGGAGACAGTGCTCATAAACTCCTCAGATGGAAGAAGTCTCTCGGAGGAGAGACAAATCATTTTATTAAACAAGAATCTATCCAGAGGACCTATTTAATTTTTTTAAATTATTCGTCTTCAATTTTTGGAGAGTTAACACAAGATACATGTAATGACATTAGAGCACTGATGTTGCAGTTTCTTTAAACTGGATCAATACACACTTTGGTGTTTAGTGAAAGCATTTTACAAAACTGTTGCATACACACTGGGGAAAAGTTTAGCCAATTAAAGCAGTGTGGCTCACCAACACACTGACACTAACAAACATCTTCAGTACTCAACATCCAGCCATTAAATGTTCTAACCACAGACAAAAACAAGAGTAGGAACTCCTGCCAAAGTATGAAGTACGAAGGAGTACCTTGTGATATTATTGATGCTACAATGTAATGGAATCAATAAAAGTGTCGTCTTCTCTGGTGCGGACATGATTTGTGTGAGCCACTGGCACCTGAGGGAGGCAATCCAGGAGCTTGTTTGTACAACGGCTGAGAATTTGTGGCTGTATTGAAATGACATTTCTTCACAGTGTGAGGAGAAGGCTGAGCAGGCTATAGTTCATGACTGACACGGTGTTACTCTACTGCCTGGCATAGATTACACAGTGCCTCGATACTGATGGTTATTGCTGCTATTTTGTCTGACATGTCTCATTTCTCCACCTTCTTCATCCTCCAGTTTTTTCGCTCCCACACCTTCACCTGTACCTATTTTGCACTCTTCCTCCTCTTTGCAGGGCCCAATCAAGAGATGATCTATGATTTCTGGCGGATGGTTTGGCAGGAGAACTGCTTTAGTATCGTCATGCTCACCAAGCTGGTGGAAATCGGCAGGGTGAGTTTTTTTTTCCATCTTTTTGTTCTCTGCTCTCTTCAGCTCACCTTTGAAGATGAATGGAGTGAATTCCAGGAGCTCCCTGAATGTCAGACGAGCCGCTTTGGGGAGGAAACGGGTCCTGTTGTCTGATCATGACTGATGTCCTGTTACTTTGGTGGCTGCAGTTCAAGGTCACATCTTTGATGTAGATATTAAAGCCACTGGTCTGAACTGTTCTGGTCCTATCAGAAAATCAGGTGTTCAAAATGTGGACAACACCAGAGAGGATCTCAAAGTCTGAGATGTTACAGGCTAGTATAACCTCAGATAAGCAGCTTAGATGGTCGTTTCTGTAAAGTTGAAAACCTTTTGGATGTAGCATGATTAAAAAAATAGACACTTTGAGCAGCGTTTTGTTTTACTTACCATATTTATTCAAGTACAATACGTAAAATTTAATCCATAAAAACATCCATAAAGTTGGGATGTAGTACTACACTCGGATAAATATTTTTACTTATGTATTTTAACTGAAATATCGGCTTCATTCACAAAATGCCTGAGTCCAGAAATGAGACCGCGTCATAAAAATCAGTTGAAACGAGCTCACCTCTGACACTCCTCTGTGCTTCAGAGTGAGATAATAACAGATCCAGGCAGGAGACATGATGNCACGGGGGCCAGACGGCCTCCAAGTCTCGGCCTGACGTGTTTTGTAAAAGCGCCTCAAAAGTACAACAGCATTGAGATGTGTCGTGCAYTTACAGCACTCAGTGACTCGGGTTTTTTTTTTTTTTGATAGAATACGGTTGCAAGGCAARACCGTCAGGCTAGCAGTTTACTGTTTGCCAGTCCTTGTGTTAAGCCAGGCTGAATGAATGTCAAGCACTCCTCTGTCCCATATGCTGTGATTTCACTAAATATTTGATGGACTGTTGGATTCACAGTTTGTTCAGGATTTTCCACCAGCAACTAGTGACAATAAGACAATATCACCAAGATTCGTTTTGTAATATTCTGAGCACCTTGTTACATTTTACTGGATGTTCACAACAAGGTGTTTGTGTAGACATTAATTATAATCTGATACTGTGTTAGTCGTGTTTTTTTTTAATTGTGCTGACTCACAGCAGCACCCCCGAACACCACTGTTAACAAGACTTTTATCATTCCAGACCACTTGCAGGGAGAGCGACCAATTCAAAAGGACACTCAAACAGAATAAACCAGTTGTTTTAGTGTCTGCATGCCTGGCTTGTCACACACAAACACACACAGAAAGTAGGTTGCAGACTCTCAGGCTCCAGCGTGCAAGATCTTTCTGATAGCTGAAAACATGGAAGACATAGAGGAGAGCAGATTAAGATGTAGTGGAGGCTTGTGTAGATTTGCTTGTGACAGGCATGAAGATTATGTTGCACTGAGAAGTGGTTTAATGTGCAAGTCTGCAAGTCCAAAGCAGCTGATCTGCTACACTGCAGGATTCTGCTGCGCTGTGAGTTTATGTATGACCTGATGATAGGAAGGCCTACTTCAAAAGGCTTTACTCCATTTGACACTTTCTGATAGACTCATTTTACTTCATGAAAGTCATAACTGGATTATTAGTTATTTATTAGGGTCAGCAAGAACCAAGGAGATACTTTTAAGAAAAAAATGCTTTTTCTAAAACATTTGACCGTCTAAATACTCAGCTTCAGGACGAACCAGTCCTGATTAGTTTTATTCTGTGTTGCCTTGTTTATAAGAGATTTAAAACCCAATCAGTGACATCATCGTGACTGTTATTCTACCATGAAGGATAGCAACTTGCCATCTGCTACAGCTACATGCATTTAACATAGCATTAGTGAGTGTAGATGGTTGTGTAGATATTAACCTTCGGGCATAAAATACCAAAACGCCTTAAAAAGTACACACAAATTAAATGAAGTACTGCTTTTGAACCCTTTGGAGTAACTTCTCAAGCTTGGTCTCTTTTTAAAGATAAAAATCTGAATTTTCAACTTCAGCAGTCATAATCTTTGTAACTGTAACTAGTATTTAGTATACTGAAGTAAAATACACAAAATTCAAGATACTTTTCTCCCTAAATTTTTATTTTTTATTAATAAAGTATCCCAGAACATGAAGGGAATGAGATATTATCAAACAAATTTTACTGGGCTAAAATATTAATTTCCAACTATTACCAGTTCAAATTTGGTAACAGTAGCATAAAATATGAATATTTGAGACATAGTACAATCCAGCATATCATTTGCATATTTGTACACATGTACAGTATGTCCAAACTGTACACTTTGTCTAGAACACTGTAATTTCTAAATACTTCAACACAGAGACTTCACTCTGGGCTCAAATTAAAGATAAAACCCCACAAAACACATTCTACCATCCATATTTACTCACAGCATGATTAAATTAAAAATATATATTAATGTTCAGAAATATTTACACCAACTGGAGTACATTCAGACCAATTTCCACCAATAAACAGCCAAAACAAGAATAAACAAATATATCCTTATTTCTTTCAAAGCATTAACATTCCACACAGCTTATAAAACCACCAGCAGTGAAAAATACATTTGTTTTTTACTCACATTTGATGCATATTTGTCCTCAAATATGATGAAATTAGCAATTCAAAATGGTCAACCGGAAGTCTTTTTATCCAAATAATTTTTCTTCTCCTGGCCACAAAAATCACTCTTCCATGTTTTGAAGCACTCGAAACACTTAATAACAAATATATTTTCATCTTATCAGCAGGTTTAGTCAGCAAGCTGGTCAAAAAATGATGGAAAACAACTTTTTCCTGTGATCTTCACTTTGTCCACCGGATAGAGCTTTCCGCCTACAAATGATGACCGTCTCAAACTTTGCCTTGTGCGTCACTAAACACAGTCCCCACCCCCTCAAAATATACACTAAATGAAAGGTACAGTGATTGGCTACACAGCTGTGGCATCAGATTTGTACTTGTAAATTTGATTCGTACTTGTAATGTGGCAAAGTTGTAACAAATTTATGTCCGTTTATAGACTTACATGTACAAATTTAGACTCTTAGTTTAATTTAATTTATTTAATTTAGACCGTACTCTTACCAGATACTAGACGTCCATTTTGACGCATTGAACACAGACACAGGTTGAACGGAAACACAGAAAGATATTTCAAAATAAAACAAACCAAAAACGGCACGTGGGCGTTCCGCTGAATGTTAACAAGCACTGCAATTAATAATTTTGTGTAGTGAATTGGAAACTTATTTAGTAGCGTTAAGATAAATCTTTTTGTCTTTTCAGATTAAGTGCTGTAAGTATTGGCCTGATGACACTGAGCTGTATGGTGACATTAAGATAACACAGCTGAAGACAGAAACTCTGGCTGAGTACACGGTGCGCACCTTCGCCATGGAGAGGGTGAGTCACAGGCTCATTATTTTTAATGTCAACCCTCTGAGTTGGTCTGCCAGCTCTCATTCAGGGCTATGTTGGAGGAACTTGGTTTTATTTGTAAACCCAGACAATGGCTGCCAATCCCATTAAATCCACACCACGTTCAGTCTGCCTGGCTTTTGTTTTCCAGAGAGGTTACCCTGCTAAACATGAGGTGAGTCAGTTCCACTTCACCTCCTGGCCGGAGCACGGCGTGCCGTACCACTCCACTGGCCTGCTGGCTTTCCTGCGCCGTGTCAAGGCCTCCACACCTCCTGATGCTGGACCTGTGGTGGTCCACTGCAGGTCAGTTAGGACCAAACACTACAAATAACCTGCCCGTATTTACTTCTGTTTCTTTATATTTCCAAATTCCTGCACCAGCGAGGAGCGCAGCTGTGATAAATCCATCTGTTCATCGTATATGTTCTGTTCAGGGTCGTAGGAAACAGCTAGTGGAGATCAGTGGTGTCCAAAGTCAGTCCTCATGTTTTAGGTGCTTCTCTGGTTCAACACAGCTGAACCTAAGCAGTGCTTAATTATTAGACCTCCTCATTATGCTATCAAGGTCTGCAGAGGCCTACTAATTAGGCACTCCTTAGGTTCAGCTGTGTTGAACCAAAAAAACACGAGGACTGATTTTGGACACCAATGGCGTAGATGAAGCAGCTGTTCCCCCTTTTTTCAAAGTCGGGGTACAAAAAAAAGGTTAAAAAATGTGGGAAAAAAAGCTTAAAATAGCCAATAATTTTCATTCCACTTCACGAATTGTGTCCCACTTTTTGATTCTTCACAAAAAAAATTTAATTTTAAATCTTTATGTTTGAAGCCTGAAATGTGGCAAAAGGTTGAAAAGTTCAAGGGGGCCAGAAACTTTCACAAGGCACTGTATATATACAGTATTTTAAAATGATTAACACAGCACAAACTGACGGTTAATCTAACCAGTACACATCTTTGAAAATAAAAAGTCTAAATTATACCTAAACTTGGCTTGCAAAAACATTTTGGGGTGTGGTCTACGACACTTAATCTAAAGCTAAAGCATAGTTTCTGCTAACCAGGTTCTTACATCATTTGGATTAGAGCAGTTCTTTTTTTCCTTGAGAACTTGAAAATTTTAAATAAATAAGGCAGTATTTGAACCCAGGTCTCTTTTATTGGCTTCTTTGACACCAGTTAGTCAGACATCATCAGGCAGACTAACACTTTGATGCCTCTGACATTCAGCCCAGTGGTACGAGAATTTCTCCATTAGCAGTGGTGGGTACCAGCCCACTAAAGCGCAAATCCACTAATTGCAGACCTAAATATTTCGTTTGCGTTTTAGCGGTCTTACTACAAAAACAGTAAGCGTTTGTAATCCATACTAACATTTTGTATGTATTGATTTATTTTATTTTACAATCGGAGCTCATTTTTAAAAAATAAAGTTTAAACACTGGAGCTCAATACTTGACGTAATTAATTGGTCGTAGCAATCCGCCAACTGGGTTAGACAGACATCTAGTGGTCAACTGGAGCAACTACATGGAAAACTTACGTTTCCAGTCACAAATCAAATCCATCATGTACCCAGAATGCATCGCTTCAGTTTCCGAATAAACAGTTTTAAAATTACTTTATTGATGCTTCTTTAATGAAAAATCTACAACAAACAAAAGAAAAAGACAAAGAACAGCCGAACTAGCAATCCTCAACAACTTTTTAAAGAAGCAGCCGAACTAGCAATCCTCAACAACTTTTTAAAGAAGCAGCCGAACTAACAATCCTCAACAACTTTTTAATTTTTACACCAGGAGCTAAAGGTCTGTTTCAGGACATCACATCCCCAGAAATCAATGCTTGTAGGATTAAGCTGTAAAAGGATTCATACACCACTAGTTGGCAGTGTTGTGAATATATTGTACAGTTGTTGCCAGCTAGTGTCAAATTGAACTTGCGCTTTAAAATTAGCTTCTGCTAATTTTTCTATGGCATAAGCATTTTTGAAGTTGCGGACGTAAATATTTACGTAAGCGATTTAGAAATTGCGGAGGTAATTTTTGGGTTAATGCTGCCCACCACTGTCCATTATTGATTCTGCTCTCCGATTTTTTCTAACATAATCAGCTGCCCAGCTCTAGCAAACAAAGGCAAGAGGTGAAGTGTACCCTGAACAAGTTTCCAGTCCAATGCAATGTCCTCTTTTTTTAGTAATACATATAACTGGTGTAAAATGTATTTAAAAAATAGAGTCGATGCTGTCTCAATCAAATAAAGTTTGTGATTCAGTGAAGGACATTTATCTGCCATGCCAAATAATGAACACCACACACCAACATTCAAAGAGATCCTTTGTTCACGGAGTTGTTCTGGATTTTCTTTGAGAAACATCAAAAAACTGCAAACATTTTCATATGATAATAAGAAGGAATGTGTTAAGTCGCACACAAAGCATTCGTCTCATCCTGCTAACAGTTTGAGCTGCTGTGAAGATCTAACTCTAGTTTGTATCAGGATTGCTTTATTAGGAGCATTTTAATCAAATCTTCTGTAGTGCAGTTCATTTTCAGCCTGTGAAGAGGAAATATAAAATATGCTGATCTAACCGCTGATTGTAAGATGTTCTGAGAGGCATTTTATAAAAAGCCATCTATTTGAGCAATGTACTCTGCATTCATGCAAGTCATTTTGACACTTCGTAGTGCTGACAATTTATTAAGTCCAAAAAAAAAATAGTGATGGAGCATTTCTATGGTTAGAGCCTTCTGCAGAACAACACGCTCTGCTTTTCCTCTTTCCTGTCTTTACCAGTATGTCATTATAACACAGAGCAGATTGAAACCTAATAATCCTAATAACTGTCATATTAAAGAGCACCATGACCTGCTGCCTGTCAGTGGAATAAAAATGTCTCACGGTGCTAATGTTGCAGCATGACAGCCGTGTGTGTCGAATCAATGAAGAATCTGCTGTTGGTCTGTTTCACTTATCCTTTATATGTACAGATACAGGTAGTCTCATGGAGACACGAGGAGCTCTAGTCTAAAGAGACCTGTTACAATAACAGTAATGAAATGAATGTAATTACATCAATGAGACAAATAAAACAGCAGCATTTGCCCTACTATTATCCAATGAGGGCACCATCCCAACAAAACCAGCGCCCCCTGTTAAGATCACAGCATGTGATGAATTAATAAATCTGTTTTTGCTTGGTACTATTCACTGTAGATGGGGGGGGACAAACCAGATACATCAGACATACACTCTGCCCTGACCTTCCTGGAACATAAATAATCAGCAAAAGCACATCTAAGTGAGAGACCACATCAATATCTATCATTTAACACCAGATTTATGACATTTTATTCTGCCAGAATGAATCTACATGCAAGTTTGACATCCGGGAAATTCTGAACTGTGCACACAATGAGTAGGGGTGTGGTCAAAAACTGGTCCCTGTGGAGTAGTACCTACAACTTTTATGTTGTTAACAGACTTTTTTTCTGAATATGTAGATCCTAAGATACATGAAAAGGCTAAGAAAGTTGAACGTTTAGGATCTGTGTGCTAAACTCAGATAAAAGATGAAAATTTTCATCTTCTGTTGGGGTTGTGACATTTTGACCCTCTGATGACATCATTGTTTGCATATTTGTTTAATGAAAAGTCATTGAAATCAAAGAGCTAATCAAAATGAATCTGCTGATACCTTGTTTTTAAAATGTGGTTGGTTTATAGCAAAGTTATTGGCAGTTAAGTTTCCTGTCCCCCTAATTTCGATGGTTACAATGGTAAAGGGGTGTGGCCAAAGTGGTCCCTAGGGGGCAGTGAGACCCAACTTTTTTTCTGTTAGCATGCTTTTTTTTTGAAAGAGTGGACCTTAGGGTACATAAAAATACCAGAGAAGTTCAGTAGTGGGGTGCACATGGTGACCCACCCTAATCTACAGAATAAAAAGAGGAAAATTTTCATCTTCTGTTGGGGTTGTGACATTTTGACCCCCTGATGACATCATCGAGTACATATTTGTTTAATGAAATGTAATTTAAATTGAAGAGATAATCAATATGAATCAGCTGATACCTTGTTTTTAAAATTTGTTTGGTTTATAGCAAAGTTATTGACAGTTAAGTTTCCTGTATATACCTAACTTTGATGGTCACAATGGAAAAGGGGTGTGGCCAAAATGTGGTCCCTGGGGGGGGGGGGGGCAGTGAGACCCAACCTTTTTTCTATTAACATGCTTTTTTATGAAAGAGTGGACCCTAGGGTACATAAAAATACCAGAGAAGTTCAGTAGTGGGGTGGGGGTGGGGGGGCACGGTGAGCCACCCTAGCCCATGGATTATTAGGTAAGGTTATAGACGACATGGAACATGAAATGTCACAGAAACGCTCAGATTGAACAGTGTACCAAGGGCTGTTGCCATGGTAAACAGTCCTCCAAGGAAACATTTTGTACTCTTTACAGTACCATCTGGACCAGATTGGGTTATTGTGAATTTTTGCAGTTGTTCTAGTGTGAAGTGTCTAGTTCTAGTTTATTCTACAGGAGAAAACTTTAGTGAGGCAGAAATGGCTTCTATGGGAGGGCTCGTCAAGTGGTCTTAATGGTTAGAGGAACTGGTTTTTCAGTAATTGCGCCATATCAAACACATTACCTGAGCCATGTTGAACACAAGCAGGCAGTTTACTCTCACACCTGTGCTGCAGCTCATTTGGTTCACAACAAGAGGAACAGCACTTCATTGCCCTTTGGGTTTTGCTGTGACTCTATTTGTAAATTCAATAAAAAGCTGTAATGAAGCTCATTGATTAAACAGCTTGGTCTTCTTACCACACGACCAGGAGTTTCATTTCCAAAACAGCCTTTTCTCTGATAAAACCACATGTTGGCCTCATGCAAGAACTGTTGGCACGATCAGATTTGTTCTTAAGTTGTGCGTACGAGTGATTTAGGAGAATTTGTGGCATTCACTGATTTATTTGTAAGAGTTTTTTCAGATAAGAACAAAATTCAGCGGTGCACAACTGCTCTTCTTCTGAATAAATGAAAACTATGTAACAGTTGTTTACACTTAAAGTAAAAATATTTGACCAAAGAAAAACCAGAGCAGGACTAGAGAGGGATGACTATGATTTAGTTTTTTATTTCTGTGACTGTACGACCCACAGGAGATATGACATTAACATCAGTCGTCATTTCATTCCTGGGCTTTAGCAGGTCTGACGCTGCTAAAAACAACATTTTTTTTCTGGACGATCTGTTTTCTAGTAGAGTTCTCTGCAGTTGCTGGATGTCTGTTTATGCGCAATCAACACAGAAGAAAAACAGACCATTTTAGCCATAACTTGAGACAGGAAGGGGCTAGCTGCACGAAACCTGAACGCCATACATTTGGAGAGACGTTTAACAATTCGGCTTGGCCAAAAAAGCTCTGACCTACCCAGAAAAATAATCGCTATTTTTAATCTGAGTGATAAAATCAGGGCTATTTGGCCAAAAGCCACCATAAGTACATCTGCAAAGCCTTTATAATCACAGAGTGACTTTCATTCAACTCATTTATGAACTTATGTCTGTGTCTTATTCATAAAAATGAACGTTTAATTATGAAGAAAGACCAGGCAGGGGAATATCGCCCTCTGGTGGTGAAACAGATCATTTCCTTTGGAAAGATATGGTCCTCCTCTACAAACTGGAGGTGATTGCAAGTTCCTGGGACGTTTCTCCACGGAGCTATTAACCAACGAACGGCCGAAAAAGGCACTTTGGTGGGCAATATAGTACTCAATTTACTCCGGAGCCTCTAGCGCCAGCTCTGAGCATCAGATCTGGGTGTGAAGGAAGAGGAAGAGAGGAAGGAAGAGATCCAGCGAGGTGGAACCGCGGTCATGCATCCAGCACCCACTCTCCTGCCTGGATTTAGCCAGAAACCCCTGGCGGACGATATTTCTGCAAAAATGCATAAAATTCAGAAACCCACCTGATGGATCACTTCCAGACAATAAAAAGAACAGATTCGGTCAGGTGAAACTAGTCCTGGAAGCTCAGCACCGGGTTTTACGAATAGCAGCCTGCCTGCTAAAAAGCCCCCGGGCAATGTTTCTGCAATAATGTATAAAATTCAGAAACCCACCAGATGGATCTGTTCCAGGCAATAAATGGAACAGATCTGATCAGGTGAAACCGGTCCTGGAAGCTCAGCACCAGGTTTTATAACAGCCTGCGAGAGAGTTTTATATTGTGTGCTTTGACTTTGAAAAAAAGGGTGGTACTCTTGTTGTAGCCATGTTGACCCTGACAGATTTTTGTTTTGTTTTTCCTCCCCTGAATGGAGAGAAGAGAGGAGAGTTCTTTGAATAAATGGAGACGAGTTCCCGTGCTCCAAAGTTATTTGACTCTGTGGTTCTCACTGGAAAGAGTTTCCAGCCCTCATAGCTCGCACGTTACAGGGAGTATTAATTGAAGGAGGTAAAAAAAATGATACTTTTTGTTTGAGCATCACTGTTATGTTTCTCTGTCAGGAGTTAAATAAGGATTTTCTCTTTTCTTTTTTTATGTAGGTAAATAAATGGTTAAGTCGATAGTTTTGTTTGACAATACTTTAAATTAAATAAAACTAGCAACACATTATGTTCTGTTTTATTTACTTTAAAGAAGTGAGGAGTAGGGAGACAAAATTATGTTTTTTTTATACTGAGACTGGATGAGTAGCTCTCAGCAAACTGCCGACTTCAAAAGTAGCTCTTGGTTCAAAAAAGGTTGGGCACCCCTGATGTAGAGCATGGTCAGTGCAGTGAGATGTGATGTTGTACCTGAGGAAAGTCTGGATTGTCTTCAGTGTTGAAGCTCCTCTCAGATTCAGCTGTGGTCAGAGGAGATATGATGAGAACCTCCAGCAGAGTCACAGCCTTTGAAGGTGTCCTGCAGATTGTTCTCCATGAAGAGCTGGTACAGATCCACATCACCACTGCAGCTCCTGAACTACATCAGACTTCTTGGTCCTGTTCAGCATTGGGTAAGCCTCCATGGTCTTCAGAGCTGCTTCAGAGAACTGTCCTGCAGGAACCTGTCTGTCTGCAGCACTGTAGCTCTGATCAGATGCTTGTGAATGGCTCAAGATGATGTCACAAACCTAAAACAATAAATGCACAAATTTAATTAAATATGGAGATGGCTACAAGTGAGCTTTCTAATATATTTAATATATATAGAACAATTGCAACAAATTGTTGCATCTCTAAGGTAAACTATTAATTTTTTTGTTTTAAAAATGTACTTATTTAATTAAAAAACAAAATAAACTCTTAGCACAACAGAAGAAAAAAAGATACAATAACATGAAAGGCAGCAGAAAGAAGAAATCTTCCAATATCTGTCAAAAACATGAACATAATATTATATTATTTTTTGTTCACCATTAACATGTAATATATACTGTATAATATACTATGATTAATCAGCACAACAAAAGTATTTTAGCTTTTCTCTTACCTGTTTTAATCCATGCTGGATCAGATCCTGATGCTTGAAATACGTGGCAGAAAGCTAAACAGAGCATTAGCCTCGCTACTAGTGATTAGCTTAGCATTGTTGTTTATCCAGGCCCAGGAAAATGATAGAGTGTAAACTCTCCTTCTGTCTTTGGTCTGCTGCTCTTCATGTCCATCTGATCCAACCCATTCTCACTCCCAAGTCGTCACATATTGACGCTTTTCCAAGGTTCCCTCTGTGCCCGATTTCGACACGTCGGGTAGGCCCTTTGCGACAGGTTTTGACGAGATGGGGCGGAATCTGTTGTCATAATTTCAGAAAGTGTAGAAAATGCACAAAAACTACCATCCCAAAGCCTAAAATTACCTTTATTCACTTTAGACATCCTGTCCCTGACCCTAGTACCTAAAATTAACCATTTTTAGAAAATGTAGGAAATTCACGTCAACTACGTGNCACTTTAGACATCCTGTCCCTGACCCTAGTACCTAAAATTAACCATTTTTAGAAAATGTAGGAAATTCACGTCAACTACGTGTTCCAAAGCCTAAAATTACCTAATATTCACTGTAGACATCCTATCCCTGACCCCAGTACCTAAACTTAACCATTAATCCTGATCCCTCATGTTAACCTCAGACCCCCGAACCAAAGACCCTGGTGGTACAACCTGGAAAAGCTGCGGGCGGCAAGGACTGATGCGAGGGGGGTCAACCAACATGTCAAAATAAGACGCAGAGGGAACYTTGGAAAAGCGTCAATCTGTTGACGAGTCGGGAGTGAGAATGTGTTTTCAGATCAGGTCCAAGTTCTTTTAGTTTAAACTTCTCCTGGTGTGTTCTCATCAAAAAGGTTGTGTTTAAGAGACTTAGCTGAGTTGTTAGCTCCTCCATTTGTTTTTTGGCTTGCTCCGTGACCGTCCTGCCCTACTGAACATGGCGTCGACCCACTGCCAGTATACAGATCACATTCTGGGCGCAGGTCAACTGCACCCAGAGACTCCCTATTCTTTTGCATGAGGACCTACTGCGCATGCCCAGGAGTTAACATTAGACTTCACTGGTAAAGATGTCTGCGCCCTGAAGTGAACCGGAAGTGACTCAACATGACATTGTTTATGAGTAAAATGAAAGTTTATCCATTAATAACCATATAAAAAGCAGATTACACATCTAAATTGTATATTTCTACTAAACATTTTATTTTGTTATTTCATTTTTATATTTTCTCTGTCCCAAAAAATAGTGGCGGGCGGTGCCCTGGCGCCCTCTATAGACCAGCTGCCACTGATCAAACTTTATCCTTCTTTATACTTTTTATTATTTGAACGAAAGCAGACTACAGAGAATAATGTTAAAAGTTTCGCTCTAAGGCATCTGACTTGTCCCTCTCTCCTCTGACAGTATGGGGGCAGGCAGGACCGGCTGCTACATCGTGCTGGACGTCATGTTGGATATGGCTGAGTGTGAAGGAGTGGTGGACATCTACAAYTGTGTAAAGACCCTGTGTTCCCGTCGGATCAACATGATCCAGACTGAAGTGAGTTTGAGGTCTGAAGTTGGCTCAGAAACGTGACACTGACAGCTTTGATCTTTAAACTACAAAGCAGCCAGAGGAACAGACTTTTCTTAAAAGTATCAGATTCACTAACGCTCAAAGTTTAAACTCTCATCATTACTTAGACTAAAAAAATTCATTTAAAGCTGCAGTAGTTGTTTTTAATTGTTCATCACCAAAGGTGAAAAGCAATAATGTTTTTCTTCGTCTGGAGCATCATTAAAATATTTCATGAATCATTGGGTTGAATTTAATTAAACTTTCACAAAGTAATCAGTGGATATATGTATTAACTTTTGAAATGATCCTCATTTAATATGTCTAAACAAGTTGGGTCAGGGGGACGAGATCTCTGGGTTGAACCAGTCTTTACTGTTTGAAAGCCACTGGGACGTCATGTTTAGAGAATAAATGTCTCTGTTTCTCTGAAACCACTGGTCTGGGTCTGGGTTTGGGGTCTTCTGAAGAAAATTCCATCAAGAGGATCTAATTTAATGTTTTTAGATTTTTCAAACTGGACTATTGAGGTGCATCAGGATTCAAGATGGCCTCCACAAATAATCAACATTAGTCAACTCAGAAATGACTGTTTTTAAAACTTTAAGCTGTTACTTATTGAAGTCAGTAGTGTCTGTTAGCAAAATATACAAAGTCACAGACAACTGACCTTAGCAAAATCAAATCTCGGCCAGTTTTACAGCTAATGACCAAAAGTCAGGAGTTTAATGGAACATTACCCAAAGTTTAGCAAAATTTGGTCTGTAAATAGTTGACAAAATATTTCAACATGCTTTCTGAGTTTACAATTATTTAAGTTATCACTTAGAGACTGATATATAATAAAACTGTCAACACTTAAATAGGTAAATTCTTGGGTTCTTCTGTAACTGCACACATCTGGTTGTTGTCTATTTGAACTGTG